GATGAGTGCTTCATCTACAAAACACTCTCCAGTTACGCTCGAGTAAAAAAGTTAAAATGTCAAAACAAAACAAAACAACTGAGCAGTAGAAGAGTATAGACGACCCGAATTCCGAAAGGTTTTGCCAAATACAGCTATGGTAATTCATACTTTGGGTATTCAAACAATTCCGAAGTGATAAAACCAATCTACAGGTATGAGCAGACAAACACAGGAAAAACAAACAATCGGAATCTGAATGTCCAAACGGCGTATGAGGATCAGTTGCGTCGACAAGATAAATATTTTATGTCATTGTGGCTTGGTTTCATTGACGTACATACCACATTGGAATCGTGGCGATATAATAAGTCTCTTAAATTATAAAAGACAGCTCAAAGATATTATATTTAGAATTAACAGTAAATGTGATAATCAAAATTGATAATACTCTCATATGCGCAGACGTTACGCTTTTTTCTTAGCTACGTGTTTCACACTCTTGCCATCAGATAATTTGGGAGTTGATTCTGTCGGTTTTTTTTATAAACAGACTTTTGTTTTATAGACGGGAGCTAACTAAGATAAAAATAATTGGTATAAACTTTTACTTAATTTTATCATAGATATAGACAGTTATTGTGAATGTATGATTGAAGTGCAGGAATTTAATAAAAATGTTATTTCGTAACCAGCTCTTTAAAAAGCTGGAAAATTTAGGTGTTGTTCTCAACTTTTTGAAAGGCTTTGTTGATAGGTATTTATATATATTCCTTAACATGCATGAAATATTTACCACTAGATATTAAGCAAACTAACAATTAAAGTAATTATAACTATGATAATTTTGTTCTTAGTCACTGCGTTTCGTATTTTTAAGATAAATATCTTTTCATTAATTAAGGTTTTAAAGCAATGCTAAACTGCTTTTTTTCTGAGTGTATAGTTCTTTGTTTGTCTTATATACATGTACACTGTGGATTCATATATTTCCGTGTGTACCATTTTTCATGGCTTATGGGACATTTGTATTTTCGTAGATATATGATTTCGTGGTTTTGCCGAAGCCTAGATATAAGCCTAACCAAATTTATACTTCATTGAACATTTAATACATGGTTCACGTTTACCCATGAAATCCATCGAAATTGGTATTACAAGAATATTAATGAATTCAAATATATATGTTGATGACGTTGCTGTATGAAATCTTGAAGGAGGAAAGCTATAAATCTTGAACCTAGGACGGCATTATTTTTTATAATCAGGTTAAGTAATAAGCACTTAGTTTTATTAGAATTTATTTAACTTGATTTAATTCGGAATAATTTGTTGCTATTAATTTATCTATTATGCCGTTAGTTTAAAGTTCAGTTCTTTTCCTAAACAGCTGGTTTTAGTTGTACATGTCTTTATATAAAAAGAAGGAGATGTGATATGATTGCCAATGAGACAACTATCAACCAAATTTCAAATGAAGTGGATGTAAGCAACTATAGGCAACCGCACGACCTTCAACAATGAGAAAAACCCGTACCGTATAGTCAGCTATAAAAGGCCCGACATGAAAAATATGAAACAATTCAATTGAGAAAACTAAAGGCCTAATTTATCATGTTTATAACAATACAATTAACGAAAAACAAATATGACAGACATGAACCAACGACAACAACTGAACTACAGGCTCCTGACTTTGGACAGGCATATGAAGAATGTGGCGGGCTTAAACATGTTTGTGAGCGCTCAACCCCCCCCCCCCCCTTTTTACCTGGGACAGTGGTGTACAACATAAGAACAAACTATAAAAATCAGTTGAAAAAGGCTTAACTCATCAGATGGATACAAATAGAAATACATCTATCAAAAACACAGAGTGGACATGGACGGGTATACTTTATGTACACTTTATAAAACTAGATATACTAAATAAAATAAAAGGTCGATCAAGCTAGGGTGTCTTAATTAGCACGTTTTATAAGCTAGAGACATATAAGAGATTGACTATAATTGTATAGACAACTGTGTATTGTTTAAGACTAGATGTTTCCCTGTAGATATCGTTTTGGTTGTTTTTGTCGTTGAGTTACCGTCTCATTAACAAATACAAACCATCTCCTGCCATGTACAAGAAACAGTTAATCCATTTTTTTTTTTAGAAAATATCCTTTAATATTTTAACTTCCTTTCACTTATTTAATGCAATATTGCTATTATCCATACGATTTTACAATAACAGTAGTTTATATATGATGCCCTTTTATTCTTCCCTTAAGGTCTGACGCAACACAACACTTTAAAGATGTCATGATGACATCATACATGTTACCTGTTAAGAAAAAAATAAGTGTAAGTCTAAATTTTAATAGATTTTTTTTCAATAACACTGCCCACTTGCAAGGACCACTATATTTTTTGTAAGGATAAAAATCGAATCCCAAAAATTAAACGGCCAAATAAAGCATGACGTAGAAGAGCATTGTGAGCAAAAAATGCCAAAGGTTTTGCCAAATAAAAAAACAGCAGGCAATTCGGCTAAAATTACACGGTATTTCACGGTATATCTGCCTATCCCCAAATCCAGAGCCTGTGATTCAGTGGTTATCGTCGTTTGCTGTTTATTTGATTTTCGCTTTTTGTTTTGACATAAATCAGGTTTTTGGTTTTTTGATTGAATTGTTTCACATTTTGTCATGTCAGGTTCTTTCATAGCTGACTATACGGTATGGAATTTGCTCATTTTTTAAGGCTTTATGGTGACCAATATTTGTTTAAATCTACGTCTTTTGACTCTAGTAGACAGTTTACGCCATTTGTTTCATTAACAATCCTACCACGTCTCCTTATTTTAGCCCCCAAAAGTGACTGGAGAATAGAAATATTACCAGTTTAGTCTTCTGCCAACATGCCATAAAACCCTTACAAAAATGGGGGCGTGTGGCGTTGGACTGTGCGAGATGTATAATTACACAGCCACGACCGGTCAGAATGGGGGCGTTAAATCCTATGTCTCGTGTAAAGAGAGTTCCACGCTCTTTGCACGTTAAGAGCCCTTGTAACAACTCTTTGAGGGGTCCGTAGAAATGTTTGTCCCTATCCGATATACCCTCATTTTCCAGTGGAAGTTCAAATTCCCCCGACCTTTATTACCTACCTTTTGTATTTATGGTTAATCTGTTCTCGTCCTGAACATACATGTGATACTTGCCACAGGTTGTTAAGCAACCAAAAGTCAATATACCAATTCAATCTCCTTATTTTATATAGTATAACTGTTAAGATATAATATAACAAAGTTATAGGGCCCATTTAAGGCCTTACTGTCATAACTCATTTTATAAGGTACCACTTCATGACAATTATACTACATGGACCGTCCGTAAATACAATAGTATACATGTACGTATATGATGCCCTTACATGTATGTGTTCGTATATATTTAAAATGCTAGTGCAATTATTTTGGTCATACAAAGAAAAAGGCTCATTAATCCAACTTATATCTTTATTGTTTACAGAAAAAAAATGAGGATGATCCTATTTTATATATAAAAATCCATTTTCGCAATATTATCAAAAACAATTTTCAATAAACATGATAAACCGCTAAACATATCCATTTAATCTAAAATGTAAAATAGAAATGCGGTCAAATAAAGATTTATTTTAATTTGAAGATAATAAGATACAATATACATAGAATCTTCCTGACATCCTTTTCAAATAAGTTAACAGCGGTGCTAATCGTGTCCGTCGAAGTTTTTTTTTACTGTAACGGACGGTTGTAAAATAAGGTGACTGTGAGAAATAAATACACTATGTTACCTACGTCACTACTTATAATTAGACTGCGCTACTTTGAGTTTCAGAAGATTCAAGGACTTTGTGGACATTACCCTTCTTTGTGAAGTTAATAAAGAGGAAATAGACAATTCCTTCATTTAGAGATTTGCCTCTTGCATAAAAAGTTTTATTAAAACTTCTGTTTCATACATAAAAGCATCATCATTATTATTGCATGTTTTGAAAAATCCTCTTTAGAAATAATCTATACACGTTTTATTTCGGTGGATACTCAATGTTGGAAAAAAATGTAACCTGGCAGTGCGCAAATACATATCTTAATTTAACAGTATTAATAGAATACAATACATCAGAAAAAATCACGACGTTTTGTCAAATTTATAAAGTAAAAATTATTTCGTGACACTGAATTAACAGGAAAGTTACACAAATAAAAAAGGAATGAAAACAAATAAAAATATTAGAGAATATCTTAAGTCTAAAGTTTAATTATAGAATATAATATAAGTAAGTTCATATCAATTACAATACATTTAATATAGCATACATGTACATGTATGACATAAAAGCAATAACAATAATTTTTTTATGATATATCACACAAAAAGAATTTAAATTACCAAAAAAGCATATCACAAAATATGTGATTTACCAGACGATAAAGGTAAGCCTCCTCTAAAAAATGTATTTGAACTCGCTACGAAACAGGAGAAAAGCTCGGCGAGCCTCGCCTTTCGCCCTATTTCTACATCCCGTACAAATAACTTTTATATTTTCCGACAATGTACATATTTTGTTTTTATTCAGCAATTTATACCCGGCACTTGAAGCTTAGGTAAGAAGTTCGCAATCAGTTCATAGAAGATTTCATACAACGTCATACATAGTAAAGGAAGACTTAGTGTGGTGCAATTCCCAAAAACAAACTATACAAAAAACATAAGAAACATTTTGGTATCGCTTCAAACTGTAAATAAGAGAATTATTATTCATCTCCAAAATACGAAACCAGTGATTGAACAACAACACTTTTGACAGCCTAAAATAAAATGTTCAAATCTCTTTAGCCTTATACACAATCTTGCGGAAAAAACTGGATATAAAATGAAATTTTCTTATTTCGATAAGGGCACTTTGAATGTCTAGTTGCTATGTTGGCTATGTATGCCCGACGGCAGACCATTTTGAAAAATATATATATATAATTATATAAATCATTATAACGATCAGATATGTTAGTTAATATTAATCTATTTTTTTTCTAACTGTCTCAATGTCTCTGCTATCATTGTTTTAATTGAGTCTTTTGTTGGACACTCTTCTTCAATCTTTTTTGCCAATTTCCTCATCGCAGATGATACTTCATGTGGATTTTTCTTGTGTACATCAATAGCAGAATCTACCATGGTGAAAATGTCTAGTGGAAGAAACACAATGCCAGCAACACCACCCGCAACATGAAAAACTCGTCCAACAGTTCCAAAGGTCTTAAATACTCCACCTCCAATTCTTAGTCCAGTAATTGCTGCATCATCAAGAACGGTTGCAAGTTGGAATGATGATTTGATGGTTGTATAAATAATACTCGCACCTGTTCCCCATCCTGCCTGACCAGCTCCTTTAACAAGATTCCACCAAAATTTTATCCAATGGGGGAAAACTTCTTCGATGCATGAACCAAGATTTGTTAGTTCAGCTATTTTCTGTAATTCAACATGTATTATTAGATATTTGTTTTTTACTTCATCCAATTTTTTATTATATTTTTTTATAAGCTCTTCAGCTGCTTGTTTTCGTTTTCTTGAGAGAAATGCATCAGTTGCAACTGAACCACCGACAGTCAATCCTCCTGCTCCGGCAATAACACCACCTACAACAGATAACGCATGACAATGTATGATTCATGACTATATATGAAATGAGAGTTTGTCTTATAATGATTATGTAGATGATATACCTGTTTAATGAAATCGAATAAATATGGTTAAAGAAGCATTCAGGATGATTTTGCTTTCAGGCAAATGCATTTGATAAAACGTCTCCGTGAGATATAGCATGGGCTTGACGTTTCGGGAATTACAACGACAGAGAGTGTTAAAAGGTATACCCTTGTTCACCTCATCTGTGGTTTTGTAGCAGCGTGTTCGCCTCGAGTACTTGAGGTTGTGGGTTAGAACTCTGACCGGGTCTAACCAAAGACTGGGTTGGTATTTGCGGCTTCTGCGCCAAGCACGCGGCATTAAGGAGTAATAACAAAGAATCGTCGTATCGGAGTTAGAATAAAATGTTCGGGTAGGGTGACATGTATTTTTGAAGACTGTCACTTTGTGAACTAGCAGGTTAAAAATCCGGTTCAACGTTATTGTCTAACACATAGTAGGGTTAATAACGTTGATTTTGTTACATTCAGTAGATATTTTTTTACGATAACTGTATGTTCAGTTTATTTGATAATAATCGAGGTATCAAAATTGTCTCAAAAATAATAACAAAAAAAGCAATACATTACTAAATCTTACATTGTGCATTTAATATAAGTCAATTTGTTTTTAATAAGACATCTAGGAAACCAATGAACCTTTTGTCAGAAATAAAAACAAAAATTACACAATTTTATCTTAAATTTATATTAAAAATTTTTCGCAGCGACGTAGTTTTAATGTGGTGATGCGGTATAAAGCAATAGCCAATCAATGAACATCAATTATTCTTTCTTTGGTCAATTGTCAGAATATTGCAATGAATATAAACTTATTCTATTTTTATAAAGTAATTCTTTTAGTTTAATTTTACAAATATTGCTCGTTTTGGGGGATAATACAAGTTGCCAATACCATATATATTTAATGTATAAACCAGTAAACCAGAATTTATTAAACATTATTCATGATGGGAAAATGGAAAGACACTGGTAATGCAAAGTGTTGAAAATCACCTAAATATACTGATTTATGGTAACCAGAATATCAAACCGTACGAGACCTTCGGCCTTTTACTATTCTTAAGCGATAAACCTTTTTTGGGATATGTACGATTTGATGTACATGTAATTTGTATTTCTAGTATTTTTATTCATATTGATTTTTTGTACAGATTGCATATGCCATACTAAGCCTACATGTATCAGACTTAATTTTCTTTAATTTCACATCAAAATAGTGTTAAAATGATTCCAACCAAAATTTCGATAGTGGCATATTTTTAAATTTGCTCTTTGACTGCTTTAAAAAAGATATGTGGATATTTTATGACATTGTTAACATAGGATGAAAATCACAATGAAGAGACGGATTTTAATGTACCGTATTAATTAACTTTTTTTTACGTAGTAGTTCAAAAGGAAGCAAATCACAGCAAGACATTTCACTGTAGCCAGACACCCCATAAGGATTCCGACTCCGCCCTTCCTTGCACGCTTCACAGCCAAAAAAAAAAGACGCGTGCTTAACCGAAAGCAATGTTTATGAATTCAAAAATCATGTGGAACCAACCCATGACCACTACAAATTGTAGCAAGCAAGTTATAACAGATTAAAAAGCTTTCTGTTTGTGCTAACGTACTGCCAAGGGCATTGAAATACATATTATACGTTTAAATATCTGTGCAGAACACGATAATTGTTTTGTTTTTCTTATTAGATGACACGAAAAGACAGTAGTTATCTAGAAAATGTACACTAAGAATTATGTAATAATGTAAAAAATAAAAACATATTGATTCTAGTACATTAAGGCTTAGTACTGATCTGTATATACCCGTTTGTATGATCAATATTGCATCTTCATACATAAATGTTAACGTTACCTGCAATAGATAATCCTAACGAGGCTCCAAAGGTAACAAAGGATAGACCAAATCCAACAATAGCAAGTATACCTCCAACGATTCCAGCAGCAGATCCTCCGATTTTTGCCTTGGCAATATTTTGGAAATGTTCATCTAAATTATCAGCAAGTGAGGTCAATTCATTGACGATTTGTGAACATAATACGATCCATTCAAGAAGGCATTTTTCATATTCGATTAGCTGTTCCATAGATAATTCTTCTGTCATATTTGAAGCTTCCAAAATAAAAGGTAAACACTAGATAATTGAAGAAAACTGAAATATAGAAAATAATTTTATAGGCAACTATTTGATCAAAACTCAAATTACCTTCATAAGTTCGAAACAGTATTTAAAAGATTTAGATAATTGTTAAAGTTATCATTTATTTTTTAAGGGATCTTGTAATTGTTAATAAAACCTTGCATTGAAATAAGAAGGACGAAACATCACAACTTTCTTTCACATCTTAACACACATATAATTACATATCCATTCATACGATTAAAAGAAATGTACTTAATATTTATGTATCTCTGTTACATGTCATAATAAAACAATTAAACCTATATAAGAAACACAATGTAAAAGCGCAAATAGAAGTCGGACAGAAAGTTTCGTCCAACTCATGATGGAATGGAGAGAATTCCTGCCTATAGCGTGCATAATTTTTAATATTTAGGAGCACTTAGGAAAATTGGGCCAGCGAAAAATCTGAACTGTGAATTGGCGATGTAGAGGAATTAGGTCTTTTGCATGTGATAGACTAAACAAGGAATTGGATGCGCTATGAAATACAAATTGGTTGACACTCAAAATCGTTTAACAATAGGATAAAAGATGAAAAAAAAACCCAACTGCGAATCTAAAGTGTTTACGATGGATCGAATAACCAACATCATTGTCCAGAGTTTATTTTATCTGTTTTTTGTGCGTTGTATAATGTTTATCAAATTGTTTTCGTTTATGTCGATCATTGATCTTTAAGTTATAGCCGAGCGTACGTTTTCGATATGTTTTTTCATGTTTCAATGTTTTTTTTTAAACTGAGTAAACATTTGACTGTCCAGCTTAACAGTCGTTTGGTGTAAAGTAAAGTCTAGACTTGATGGAGTTAATTAAAGTTGAGGGACACTTTTTTTGACAATTACATGTCTTAAATACATGACTTCAACTTAAATGTGGAAATTTAAAGTAAAAAGTTATTGTAAAATGTTAACCCTCAATAGAATGGCTGAGTTATCCTTCATATAAAACTTTAGATTTTAAATAATACAACTTGTAGTCATAGAAATATTTGAGACATTGCTTTTAGATTAAACACTACTGGCAATTTGTCTCTGGAATTATAACGAAAGTAACGAGGCGTCACATCTGAAATGTTTGAATTGTATCGTATTTTTCTTTTTGTTTATATTGTGTTTAATAAAACTTGTATTATACTGAACTATTTAATGACAATGAAAAGCCCTGTCCTTGAACTGGGTTATTTTCTGTGATCAAAGTTACCACCGATTACTCCCCTTTATACAGGAAATTGTCCCGGTCTTTCCCGGATTCTTGGAAAAGCCATTAATCGTGATCTTATATATTTTATTGTCCTTTATGAATTTAGATATTTAAATATGAGTCAGAGAAATGTATTTCCCTCGTACCAGTCTATCGACCATTCACTTATAAGCTTCTTCAGGGGACAGCACAATTGATCAATTGATTTATACCAATTTCATACACCGCAACAAAATTTGTACTGGCAAAACCTTTCGGAATTTTGGTTTCTCACTGCTCTTTAACTTCGTACTTTATTTGACCTCTTTAAAGTTTTTGATCGTCACTGGTGAGACTTTTGAGGACAACATGCGCGTCTGGGGTACAAATTAAAACCATGTATGATTAGTTTATTTCCATTGAATTATCACCAATCTAAACATAGATGTTAATTTCTGTGTCAGTTGGTATCTTGTGGAGAGTTGTCGTATTGGTAATCATACCACATCTTCTTATTTTTATATTATCTGTAATTTACAAAAAACAACAACATATTCTGACTAATTTCTAAGCGTATATATAGTACGTAGGCTACTGAATTTCTAGCAAGAACCCAAATTCTAAGCTCACAACGATTTATTCTCAAAGTGATTGTCAATATGCAAATTGAAAGATATGTATTGAAAGAGATGACAAAAAAGGAAATGGACAAATTGATGGTGATCATTTTTTTTGAAATATGCGAAAAGGCCAATAAAAGGCCAACATTTAACGGGAAAACCCGTTCTTATTGCAAATATATCAACAGTATGACACAAAATAAGAAAACAGGAAAATATAAAAAAAGAAAATAAAGAGAAAAGAAGAATAGGACATAAACCGACAAATTTCTATTCAAAATTTGAATCTACAACGCATCAATATAAGGATCGTGGCTACCAACTTTTACAATATATTGTCTATTTTATATATGAGAAAAAGATGCATTACATAAGCTCGGATTTGTATTACATTTGCGCAAAAAATATCAGTACGCTTTTTAAAACAAATACCAAAAATTAAATGGTAAAAGCCTAGTCTATAATCAATGGAATAAAAATAATATACTATATATGCATGATATCCTGGATGAAAATTGAGATATTTCTCAAAATCAGATATCAAACAAACTATCATCTAATTGTAATTGGTTCTCAGAATATACAAAATTAATAAAGGCATTGTCAAACCATAAAAAAGTATGAGTTACAAAATGTAACAACAAAAGAAATATGTAATATACTTATGCATAATAACATAGAAGCATCAACATGTTTTATAAAATAGAGAATATTTTACAAGTTGGAGATATTAATTTGAACATAAAACACAAAACATTATATTTTGATACTTAAATGATAATCAATTGAAAATATTTAGGTAAAAATTGTTACATTGGATACAGTCGTGTTAACAAATATTATAAAGCTGGAAAATAGTTGATAATCCAGTTTGCAATTTATGCAATGCTATAGAAAATAATGAACATTTCTTTATCATCTGCAAATATTTTAAAGCTTTCTGGGGAAAGTATTAGATGTATTCTTAATAAATTCAAAATTTGATATCACGTTATAAGCTGAAAAACCTAATACTTTGATAAAAAGTAACTGACGAACAGTAGTACAAGATTATGTTTACTTTGAATTCAGTATAATTAAAGCATTTTTTTTATCAAATAGAAAAGAAAAAAAAAACTAAATATTTTCTTTATATTCAAATGTGAATTTCTGTCAAGAGTAAACCACTACAAAGCAATAAAGCAAGAAGTAAGCTTTAGATACAGGAAATCGTAGGTATTTTAAAGATATCTCCTTTTTCGTCTAAGCTAAGACTTGTGTAACTGTTAAACCACATGTCTCAGTGACAATAAAGTCAAACTAAATAGTTATATAGTCACAAATCATCAAATTAAATCACAATAGCATGTTTTGGTTTACATCGTATAGTAATGTTATGTAGGAAGATTTAGTAGAAACTTAATAATGTACGGAAAAACACTGCTATATTTCACGAAAATTGTAAAATGTAATTTATACATATATTTATTCAATAGGTAACACTAAACCTTTCATTTATAGTATTTAGGGCTTTAAAGGAAAAAAGCAGTATCCTTAAAATATTTGAAAACAGTTTTAATGAAATAAGGTATAATGTTTAAAAAAAAACCAAAACCAAAAAATAGAATGTTGGATAAAATGGTTATAAAAGACAATTAGAGAATCTAATATAGATAACAAATAATAGAGACTGACTTAAGTTTTGCAAAGACTAGATCGGATTTGAGAACTTCAAGTTCTGGTTCAGATCATTTTATTTTATCAACATATACCTGATGTAACCTCAATACCCTGATATTCCAAAATTATCTCAGATGGATGACACAGTCAAACACAATCTGAGTAATATATAGCTTGCACGCAAACCTTTTAAACAAAGGCTGAACGCAGGGTCTGCATTCTAAGCAGATTGATTAAAACAAAAACTTATATTCACACACTGGAATGACCATAATTATTAAAATTCCAAAGCAGGTATGGATTTTACTGTAGAGGAAAGAATAAAATATGATTCTTTTCGTTTTTTAAGAACAAAAAAAGGAATGGTCGATGCCTTGCCTAATTATCGTCTAATGCTAACGTTCCAGATTTGTTGAAATATGTACTTTAAATTGACGTATTTATCAAGTAACCTCAATGAGAAAGGAATCGATGAAAAAAAAAAAATGCTAAACAGGATTTACTGCGTAACTTACGGGCAAGGCCGATGGTATAAAAAATGATTTAGATTTTCAATTGTACTGCGTTCATTCCTCGTAACATTCTTCTTAATTCATTGATTTTTTTCTTATATTTAATCTTGACAAAATTACCAGTAAAGTTTATGTTTTGTGTTCACCAAATTTGTATCCATAAATGCTGAAATCCGTTTTCTGTCGGAGATTTCGCCCTCCTATGAGCCTCCTACAAGAGCTCTGCCTTGAACCTGCTGAGGGCCTGTCGCTATTTGTGCATATAGATCATTTGCTACCTAGCTAAGCCTCTGAATTTAATTTATTTCAAACTTGACCTCTCATGTTGAAATTTAATCATAAGAAAATTAATGCATTAGTCTGATGAAAATTTAGACTAATATAGGTTCAAAAAGAAAGGGGAAAATGTTTAAGCTTTATCTGTATCAAATGAGTGTTATATTACCGCTCACGTTTTATCATTCGATAAAGTCATTGATTAGACTAGTATCAATAAGCATCTAAATTTATATTCGTGTGAACATTTGGTTAAATTTTGATGTCAGTGAAATATGTTTACTTTGCTTGACATTTTATGAATCCTGGATTTTGTAAATGTTTTAGCAAGAGTCCTTTCGATACTATAAATATAGTTTTTGTTATCTTGCATGTAGATGTATTATCACTCATTTATTTTTTTTCTTTCTCTTTATTTGTATAAATGCATCTTCATGAATAGATCATATTATGCATTTCAGTCAGTAAATAGGAGTTTTGCTGAACAAATTAACTAATGACCAAAAAATGTTTTAAGACACGACGAACAGACTGAAAGAATTTACACTCCGATTATTTTATAAGAATGATATGAAGCACATAATATAGTCACATAATACAAAGTGGGATATTAAACTGAATTTTTTGTTAACAATCATTTTCATGCAGATTTTTTATTCAAATATAGTTAAAGACCAAACAGCCTATTCAGTTGTACCAGTGATTTTTCCTTAAAATTTTGTGTGAAGGTATTTCATGATTTTAGGAACACAATATGATGAATAATTACAGTTTAAAAGTAACTTAACGCATGTAACTCATTTGTTGAGAAAAAGTTAAAAAAAATCCGCGAAAACAAATGAGATCTAAATTAAATGAATACTTATTTAATCAGTGGATTATTAATGTTCATAGGAACCAAAACAATATTCCTATTAGTATTGAAATCAATTTACCTTAAGATATTTGTCAGATGTATATGCCAATAGATGACCAAGCAAATTTAATGCACATAGTATTTATACGCCAAACAATACACGTGACATAAGTTATACAAGTATGATTGAATGTGTTCCAAGAACTCCTACCTAAATTAGAAAACTAGTAGTTTCTGAAAACCAAAAGATATTTCTGGAACTACACTATTTATAAAAAAAAATCATTTACGAGAAAATTTAATAAGAAAATATAAGAGTACATGATAGAATATGCACCACTGATGTGAATAAAAAACTCACTTAATGAATACATCAGAGAGACAAAAATACATGCCACATTGGTAAGGATGACATTCAATTCGACAATTACCATCACTTTTAACATGATAAAGTTAAATACTGAAATATATCACCGTGTGTTTTTGCATGAAATGAAATGGTTAAGAAATTAATTGTGCTTGCCCAATTTAATAATTGTCACCTGAAGTTATAAACTATAACTGTTACCAATTTCGATCATCCAATAGAACAACATTAAACAATGATTTGGGGAAAAAAACATACCGCTCTGATGGAATATTATACAATTAACTTTTCATCCGGACGAATATTTTGTAATGTTATTATGTTTAAGAGAATCGCTAGTAGTCTCAAAAATGTTTAATCTATACAATATGTTAAGACACATTGCTTTCAATTATTAATTGCAGTATTATAATAGTAAAACATGTTGTTTGTTTGGTCAAGAATTGGATTAAGAAAATTAATTCAAAACATAATCCCATAAGATTTCAAATTTTACTTTTGCTCAAAATCAACTACAATAATCTGTGTCCATGAACCGAGAAATAAGAGTCAAAACGCTTAGTTAGAATACAATTTAAAAGATTTACAGCATAAATAAACGCGTATAGCAAGTTTCAAATTGATGTGATAACAAATTCAAAGTTAACTACCTTGAAACAAAAATCAACCTTATACCTGCTGGCACTAAATTTCGATATTCATCGAACCGTTAAATCGGGACCAACCCTATTGACAAATAATGGAGAAAGATAATATCAAATTGAACCCAATTCATTGTCATACTTTGACAAAACTTGAGATAAAACCGAATCATAATGCCTCTACTACCGCAGTCGTGGCATACAAGTCACTATTAAAATGTTACGCAGATAAATACATAGAAAAACTAAAAATCCGTAAACTTTACTGATTAAATAATGCACTTTTGAACCCATAAAACACGATATTTCTTTGTCAGGATATTTTTATTGCAAATTTTAAAGGGACTGTAAACTAATATATTTTCCTTTAATTAATCTTCTGTTTTTACAAGCTACTAGATATATTTAACTTCTTTATAAACAACAATTATCCGTTTAGAAAAATACACACGATACAATAACAATTAAAAATATGATACAGTAATTACGACAGCTTCATTGCCATTGAATAAGGCAGCCACAAAGGTTTCATTAATCTAGTGGACGAATTTAAAATTGATCAGAGTTAGTTTAAGGTATGGACATTGTCTATATCAATAATGTTGCATGTTTTATCGTCTAACTGTAAAATGAAAACTAAGTGGAAAGAGGTAATATTGAATATGTCATGATTTAGATTACCAAATACAAATATAACCTTGATAAAGGAACAGTAATTTTATTGACACAGCTTACACACAACCATAGACCAAACTCGTTACTAAGAACCAAAGTATCAAATATGTAGCTATAAAATTGATTGGGCACATTACTAAGCTATCTGAATACATTGTTATATAATAAACAAACAGATTTTTTGAAAACTTTACTTTACCAAGAAGCAAGAAGCATAGCCTACTTCTTAAATGTTGCCATAAAAGTCTTAAAGCTTTAAGCCTCTTCCAAACATTTGAAAGTCCCGACTATGTACTGGTTATCGAAATTACACAAACAACATTTAAATTTCTTTTCATCTCCGCATCTAGTAAGTGATCTACTAATAATATGTCAGTGCTTCTAAATTCCTCCCTTACTACTATACAGTTATGCTTTTTCTACTATCTACGCTACACTTCCACAAAATCTTATCAAGAAAAAGTGTTCATATTTAATTAAATGGTCTTTTAAAAAATATCATTGCAAATTTATTTGCTGTATCTCGTTTAAAGCCTTTTTCTGTAAAGAAAAAGAAAAGTATGCTAGATACACTTACCTGCTTACTAGAAATGTGAAGATATGATTGTAGCTTGAAATTTTCTGCTGGACAACATATATGTACGTTTAGTCGATAAAGTGTAACGGCAGGTAGTAAATATTTCTTTGGGCACTAATGTTGGGCCCCTTTAATAGCAGATTTATTCCTGTACTGCTATGAATCACAGTGTATGGCCAAACTCAGTAAAGACACGTCATTGTTACATTTGGTTGACACATTCAACAATACCTATCGTTATCTTGATGAATTGTTTTCGTTAAAAATCCATAGTTCTCTAAATTTTCTACCTAAATGTACCCAAAGGAACTTTCTTTGAATAAATCTAATATAAACAGCAGTAGTTGTTCTTTTCTAGATTTAGACATTTCAGTTTCAAAAGGGAAACTCCATACTACAATTAACGACAAAAGAGACGATTTTTCAATCCTATTGTTAACTTTCTTTTTATAGACGGCGATATTCCTTTGGCTCCATCATACGGTGTGTATATATTTCACCTCGTTTGTTATACCAGTGTGTGAAGTGATGTCATAGATTTTAACGAACGTAATAAATGCATCACTGGTAAATTATTAAGTCAGGGATTTCGTTACCACAAATTACTTAAAACATTTACTAAACTCTTTCATAGATACACAGATTTGATCAGTAAAGTTGGCTGTACCTGTTGAACACTTATTAAACAACGGTATTTCACATCTGAAATTTTACGGTAATATTGTATTAAAAGCGCGAAAATCACTTTGTGATCCGTGTAAATTCATCGAACCTTTAAAAAAACTTCTTAGTAAAGGTTATCTTTCTAATGTTGTAATAAGATCTTTGAATATTTCTTCCATTGGCACAACCATCGATTTTGTCATTACTAAATTTGTATTCTTTTCGAATAGTTGTTGGGATGTATAAATACACATTCACGTTAATTTTCTATTTAGAGATTGCTTTATCTATATATAACATGATACATATTAATTGTAAGGTTAAATCCTAACGATCCTACTGCCTGTCGATACTTTTATTTTGGCATTGCACAAGTCGTGTTTTCTTTGACTGTCCATGAAGTTAAAGTACTAAATCCTTGGGATGTGTTTTAATTGATTATAGTCTCTAATGCACGATTTTTTTAATGTTAATTTTTTTTGGCTTTTAACCAGCTTTCACATGTTTCAGTAAATAAAGGCAACAGTTGTATACCGCGGTTCGAAATTCATAAATCGATTGAAAAAAAAACAAATCCGGGTTACAAACTAAAACTGAGGGAAAAACATCAAATATAAGAGGAGAACAAAGCAGAAACACTAAAATGCAACACTCACAGAAACGAACTATAAGATAACAATATCCATTTTCCTGACTTGGTACAGGACATTTTAAGAAAAAAAATGGTGGGTTGAACCTGGTTTTGTGGCTAGCCAAACCTCCCGATTTAATGGCAATGTTAAATATAACACTAAAATGACAACATTACATGACAGGACTACAATACAAATAAATGGAAGAACAGACAGGACAGAGAAACACACAAATAAACAATACAATAGAACATTACTACAAGCTAATAGTTATCAAAGGTAAAGGTATCAGTAACTGCGAGTTCTCTCAAATCGTACTTTCATGTTAATTTGACCTGTTGACATAATTTGTAATGAGTTTCTGTAATTCAATGTTTACTTATTTTGTGTTATATCTCGTCTCACTATTTTTGATATGTAACACCTTTGATAAGTATTTAGTATGACGATAAATTTTAACTTCTGTACTCGTACTCTGAACTTATTAATTTTGTAAAATATGTTTACTTCTGTACTCCTAACAACAAAATGAGTATACTTAAAATTACACGTGTACGTTGTTTTATTAACACCATTTTGTCCCAGAAAGGAGTTTTCTTATTAACACTCTTCCTACATCTGTTTTATTACTACCTGAAACGTATATGTTTTATATATAGGCACCTACGTTTTAATATTGTATTTATATTGTGTCACGGATCAAACTTTTTCGTTCAGTGCATGTTTACTTGTTTTTGTTTAAATGCCTTTTTGGTCTAGTTAAGCCATTTGAATTGATGTTTTTAGTGTATCTTTTTATGTTGTAATGTTACACTACTGTGTCAGGCTAGGATGAAGGTTGGGGCCTGTTAAAACGTTTAAACCCGCTGCATTTTTATGCACCTGTCCTAAGTCAGGAGCCTGTGTCCAATGATTGTCGTTTGTTGATGTGGTTCATAGGTGTTTCTCGTTTCTCGTTTTTTATATAGATTAGACCGTTGATTTCCTGTTTTAGTTGATTTACACTAGTCATTTTTGTGCCCTTTTTGAAGTTGCTGTTCGGTGTGAGCCAAGGCTCCGTGTTGAAGACGATATTTTGAGCTATAATTGTTTACTTTGTACACATTGCGACTTGGATGGAGAGTTGTCTCAATGGAACTCATACCACATCTTCTTATTTATAATATATATGTCACAGCAAAAAGTTGAAATTAAGAATTATACACGTAATTACTAAACAATTCAGTAAATACCTGTAATTACTAATCAGTTTAGTAATTACATGTATTTACTGATTGTTTCAGTGATTACAGGTTATCAATGAATTCTTTTGTAATTTTTTCAGCTATTTACTAACTTGATATTTTTGTTTCAAAATTTTTGACATGAATCAAGAAACCAAATAAGAAAGTAAAGGGGTAGGGATTGTAGAGCTTTCTTTATGGTTACGGAATCCAAATCTTTCAAGACTACATGCTCTTTATTTAAAGTTTGTGTATTGACACTGAAAAATAGTTGTTTTATAATTTCTGAAACTCGCTGAAAATCATTTGCACTATGCAAAACAAT